TGATAAGAATCATGTTCATCTCATTCAAATTTTTTTTTTAAATGACAAACCTACCCGTGAAGATTTAAGAGTTTGACAGTGAACTAGGCTTAATCCAACATTACCTAATGAGGTTTAGAAGAGTACACAATCAATCATGAACACTTGTCAAACACTACAAGTTCAACTGCAATTGTAGGGGTGAAGATCCCTTAATAACATAACTTGCCCTTAAGGGTGTCCATCCACATAATTTCTAAATGAAACATCAAATAAGTGTCACCTCATTCATGTGTTAATTAAAACATTAAAAGTTCACTAAGCACAAATTAAAACATTACAACTAAATTAACTAGGGTTGATCAATTCAACAAGATAATAAGTCTTATGAACTTGAGGTGATTCAAAAGATCCTAAAAGATGTTCAGGGTCAATCCCCGAGCACTTTTATAGTCTTCTGAACACTTTGAAGGATATAAAAGCTTATTATTCTTTGTTGAAGGAAATCATCCATAAAACTTTAGGGATCCACCAAGATATACCTCATGACCCGTTAATATACTAATTCTAATGAAATACCCTACACTACTTATCCTACAGTTATACCCTATGCTCGAGGGTTTAAGTCTTGAATAAGATATTTAAATCCTTGTGAGCAACTGATGATATTTTTGCTACATATGGACCACCGAGTTTGCGTAAGTCTGAGGTCTAGGTGGCAAGGGCGATGAAGACATTTCTTATGTGTGCTAAACGAGGGATATGAAGTGGGATTTTGGAATAGTATCTCCTACCTCAAGGATCCTCAACAAGGAGAGAGGACATGATCGGTGACACTATTCACCAACTTTTAATGGAAGATGCCCTTGACACTCTTCGGTTGCTGGTGGTCCTAGCCTGATTAGAGTGATTAGCTTGCAGACTATATTACTTTCCAAAATATTTAATAAAAAATCCCTTTTGAACGTCATTATTTTTTTATTTTCTTGCCAAAGTAGATTTCAAATGCATGAAAAATTAAAACATAAAGATCCACAGGTTAGTCACTTGGATTGAGGTTAAAGATTGCCTCCTTGGGTGGCCAGGTTGGCAACTTTCATCAAAGTTGAAATTATGAAGCACGCAGTTCAAATATGAGCCCCAGCTTTCACAATTGCCTTATACTTAGTTCTGGTCCTTCATGTGTGATTGCGGGTTTTACGCGTTTGTGCTTTCTTAAGATCCATTTTTCCACATTTTCGTGCTGGATTTTCCTGCTTTCTTTCATGTAATTTACTTAATTCCCCTGCAACTATATTATGCTTTATAATGCTAACCATGCAGCAACAGCAGGAGCGCTAGGTACACATTTACAGTTTATTTAATACAATTTTATTACTGTATCTTATTGTAACTTTACTTTACTATGCATGCTTTAAGTGTGAAATAAAAATACACTTTCAAAAATTAACACACCCTTGTAACACACTTAATCTACTTCTTTTAAATTTACAAGAATATCTCGGATGAGGTAACCTACGGTTGCTAACGAGAATTCTCCAGTCTAAATGAGCTTAACAACTCGTTTAAACTAAATAAATTTAAATGAAAATAGTAATATCGAGACTACAGAATCATGAGATTTTGATCGGTGTCGCTTAACTAAAATTAAAATTTCCCCCAAAACATTTTAATAATAAAATCTATTAATAACAAAACAAAACTGAAAACCTTGGAGCTACTACTGCAACAATGAGATTGAAGTAAGATTTGTGGGCAACATGACATGGATGCAAGAAAAGAACATCTTCGAAGAGCAAAAGAGATCTTCACTAGCAAAACTTTCCTTTGTTTAACAACAACAACCCATAGGACTTTAAGGTTGTCCGCCTAGTGCGATATAAATCCTCAAGTTTTTTTAGGCTTTTGCACAACCATATTGTGCAATTTAAACACTAACCCTTTTAGGACTCTGAGTTCGTCATTCAGTATGACTAAATCCTCTTATCTTCCAGGTTATTTACATGATCAGATATCATACAAATGTAAGCCCTAAGTAATAAAATGACAAGACAAAACATCAAGCAATATCATCTTCGAAATCAAAGCCAAAAAATTGGATTATTTGGGAAGTCACATAGAGTCTCGTCAAGATTTGTGACATCCTTCACTCTTCTTCCCTTTGAACTCTGAGAATAACTGCTCCTACTTGATTTAATCCCATTTGGTTTTCCATGTCATACATTGAATTTGTATTTTTGAAGACAAACACCTCTGGTTATCATCGAAAGTTTTCTTAAGTGACTTCGGTTACTTAAAATACAATTAACTATAGGGGCTTGCATCTGTAGAAACTGAAACTATAAACCCTATCTAATCCTTATATTAGATATGTGAACTTGTCGATCAACATATAAAAAGGTTCGCAAACCAAAGAGATGTCATAAATTTTCTTTAGTTTATGTAATTGAGTTCCGCTAATAAGAAATGTGTCTTTTTTCTCGAAAAGGTGCATTGTTTGTGGTGTTCGGTTATTTAAAGTATTAAATATATGAGATCTATTTGGTCTCATTTATTTATTTTAAATTTAAAAAAAAACTATTTACAAAATTATATATATATATAAAGAAAGATTTAAGTATATAAAGAAAGATTTAAAGTATCGTGTTATATAAAGAAAGATTTAAGTA